TTTCCAGATGTTGAGTATTTGGAAAACATTCCCATCAGGTGCTTGTCCTCTAGATGCCCTCGGAAAAGGAAAGAATCCAGGACAGGGATTTGGGAGTGGCGGTCCCAGATCTCAGAGTGGGGCTTTCCTGAGGGAACCGGGAGAAATCTCGGGTGCTTTAGAGCTTGGTTACCACCATCCTCATGAGTTTCATCCCAGTGAATTCAGTCGCCACTTAACTGATGTTCGGGCAGAGACCCTGCACCTCACCCCTTCCTCTGCGGAGGCATATGTGCCTTCCAGGTGACTGATGTAGTTGCATTCCTGACTGATTTGGTCCTCCTGTGCAAGGCAAGAATTATGATTCATTCTTAAGCAAGACCGTAGCTTCAAGACGACGGGTGACTTTTAAATAGCAAATCGGGACTGGAACCTGGTGTTCTGATTCCAAATCCAATACTCTTCTGTTATAACATGCCTCCTCTTTGTGGAATTTATTTGAGAAAAAACTACCAAGCCACTCTTCTGGGGTTCACCTGCAAGGTGGTGGCCAGATAACGTATAATGACACCTCCTTTCTCTGGGGAACTCCAAGGCTCTCTTTCATGGTGATTCTTGGGAAGTCAGGCAGGTGATCCATAAACAGAGAAATGGAGGCCTGGGGAGGTTGAACACCTTGCTCCAGGCCACACACTGAGTGAGTTAGAGCCCGGGGCAGGATTGGAATCCAACTCTAGAGGGTCAGACCCCATGGGTCATTTCCCAAAGCCCAAAGTCACAGGAGATGGAAGAGGCTTCAGCCATTCTCAGCCAAGCCCAGTCGCGTCCTTCCCCCTGCCTCTCAGGGCCTCCTCCGGGTTATGTGTTGGCCCCTCTGTTTTCTGTGTCTACCCTCTGCTCCAGGCTAGTCCCAGCACTCCATGCTCCTCATTGGCAGATGTCTCCTTTAACTTCTCTGGGACTTTTTTTCTCCCTTTCCAGAGAGAAACTCATTTTACTTTAAAGAGGTTTGTTGAAATCCATACAAAATGACAGCTAGATAGGAGGAATATGTTCTGTCTTCTATAGCACTGTAAGATGACTATAGTTAACAATGACATATAGTTTCAAATAGCTAGAAGGAGGATAGTGAATGTTCCTGACACAAAGAAATGATCAATATTTGAGATGGTGTATATACTAATTACCCTGATCTGATCACTGTACATTATATGTGTGGAAACATCACCATGGACCCCAGGACTATGTACAATTATTATTTGCCAATTAAATCATTTTGTTTTGGGCTGGGCATGGTGGCTCATGCCTGTAATCCCAGCACTTTGGGAGGCCAAGATGGATGGATTGCTTGAGTCCAGGAGTTTGAGACCAGCCTGCGTAACATACCAAAACCCATCTCTACTAAAAATACAAAAGATTACCCAGGCATGGTAGCACATGCTGGAGTCCCAGCTACTTGGGAGGCTGAAGTGAGAGGATCACTAGAGCCCACCAGGTGGAGATTGCAAGTGAGCAGAGATCATGCCACTGCACTCCAGCCTGGGTAACACAGTGAGACCCTGGCTCAAAAAAAAAAGTTTTTTTTTTTTTTTTTTTTGAGATGGAGTTTCACTCTTGTTACCCAGGCTGGAGTGCAATGGCACGATCTCGGCTCACTGCAACCTCCGCCTCCTGGGTTCAGGCAATTCTCCTGCCTCAGCCTCCTGAGTAGCTGGGATTACAGGCATGTGCCACCATGCCCAGCTAATTTTTTTTTTTTGTATCTTTAGTAGAGACGGGGTTTCACCATGTTGACCAGGATGGTCTCGATCTCTCGACCTTGTGATCCACCCGCCTCGGCCTCCCAAAGTGCTGGGATTACAGGCTTGAGCCACCGTGCCCAGCAAAAAGTTTGTTTTTATATAAAAAAATGAAGACCAGGGAGACCTCAAGTGAAAAGGGCTTTGGAGGCAACGGGTATGGGAAATGGATGATGGATGATAGGAGAGAGATGCTTCAATAGAGCCAGGTTTGAATATTGGCTACTCCATCTACTCTCTCTACAGACACTGAAAAGTTGCTTTTCTCTTCTGCAGAGCAGGGCTAGTCATCACGATGATATTTGGCTGGCAGGCGTTGGGAGGATCTCCTGTAGTCCTCAAAATAGGAAGGTCAAAACATCCCTATTTGCCCAGGTTTGAGGAGTTTCTTGGGATATGAGACTTTCTGTACTAAATCCAACCAAGTCCCAAGCAAATAGGGATGAATTGGTCACTTTGCTTTAAACAAACCCATGTTTTTTCATTTAATTTAATTTTATTTTACTTTAGGTTCTGGGATACATGTGCAGGTCATGCAGGGAAAACAACCCATGTTTTTGATGGATCAACTAAGTATGAGAATTTACAGTGGGGCTGTGACAGCTTGTATTACTGCTTAGTTTTATACACACACACTCTTTCCTGCTATCCCCACACCGTGCTGTTGGCTAGGCCGTGTGATGGGCTGTGGCTGATAGAATATTAGCAACCACACCAGGAGCAGGAGCTGCCGGGTACTTGTACAGTTTGGCTTGGTTGGGGCTCCTGTGGTCACCTGAAGAAGCATGTGTCCCAGGTTACAACGGGCCCTTCAGTCTTGGCTTCAGAAAAAACGTGAGTTAACTAGGGCGGGAATGGGGTAGACTGCGTTGATCACCTCCCTGCGCTGCCCCCCACCAGCCAAGGAATCACACCACCCTCCGTTCATGGCCCCTTGCAGTGTGAAGTTGCCACTTCTGTCATCAAGAATGGGAGTCTATTTCTCCACCATCCCACATCTGGGAGCTGCCTAGTGACTTGCTTTGGCCAAGAGAATGTGGCAGAAGTGAAGGGCATGGGTTCTGGAGCCTAGACCTTGAGAGACCTTGCATGTTGGACTCCCACCCTTTTGGAACCCTGGGCCAACCATATTGTGAGGAAGTCTGTCTAGCTTGCTTGAAAAGAGGCCACATGGAAGAGAATGGAAGAGCCCCAGTGGGTAACCAACTGCTGCACAAGTGAGTCTGTCTTGGACCCTACCCACGTAAGTGAACCCAGGCAAGATCAGCAGACCAGCCCAGGCAACACAAAGAATTGTGAGAAATAAATCATAGTTGTTGTCTGAAGGTACTAAGTTTTGGGGTAGTTATACAGCAATAGATAACGGATACCAACCCACAGCTTGGGATCCGAGCTCAACCAACAGGTATACTCCAGCTAAGCTGCACACTGAGTCCATTCTAAATCACAGAACCACAGTCAGCCCTGCAGGCCTGCAAATGTAGGATGAAATGTCCCTTGTTTTAAGCCACTGAGTGTTCCAGGCATTTGTTTGCAACACGCTTGTGTCAACAGCTGATGGACATGAGGGATTCAGCCCCAGGAGCGCCTGACTCCAAAGCCTGTTCTTAGCCCCATTGCAATACTGTGCTGTTGTCCCCAGGCTGTGAAACATCTAAGACATATTGATCCTGATGCCTAACTATTAATACATTCCCAGGCTGTCCAGCAATGCCAAGAAACCCTTTGTCAAACGTGGGTACCATCATTGTAGAGCCTTCCAGATTGTTAGAAAAAGAAGAGAGTGGGGATTGTGTGCCAAAAGAGATGGACAAGGAGCTGCTTAGTAAACTCTGTAACATTTGGCAAAAAAATGTATCCTTAAATACAAATCAAAGCAGCATAGGTTATACCTGGGAGTGACAAGGCAGAGAGAAGACATTAGAACAGTAGAGAGGAAAATATAGAAAAACATGTTCATAGCTTCAGGATAGGGAAATTGCAGATGACATATAATATAATGGTGTTTTTATGAAGTTCAAAAATAAAGCCAAGCATGTTATTTGGGGATACATAAGTATGTATGAAAACCACAGTGAAACTAAAGGGAGTAATAAAATTCAGCATGTTTGTTTTTCTGGGGAAAAGAGAAAAGGGAAACTGAGGCTGGGTGTGGTGGCTCACACCTGTAATCCCAGCACTGAGGTCAGGAGTTCAAGACCAGCCTCGCCAACATAGTGAAACCCTATCTTTACTAAAAAATAAAAAAAATTAGCCAGGCATGGTGGCACATACCTATAGTCCCAGGTACTCGGGAGGCTGAAGGAGGAGAATTGCTTGAACCTGGGAGGTGGAGTTTGCAGTGAGCCAAGATGGCGTGACTGCACTCCTGTGTCACCCTACCTGGGTGACACAGTAAGACTCTGTCTCAAAAAAGAAAAAAAAAGAGAAAGAAGGGGGTGCAACTGAAAGGACTGCATAAAGAAAGTCAGAGAGAGGCAGGAATTGGATTCCAGATCTTTGGTTGAGTGGTGGATTCCAGGTTTTCATTTTACCATTTTATATAAGGGTAGCATCCTCATGGGAGGAGCATACTGTGACATTTAGGTGTGTGGATGCTGAGTTTTAATCCTAGTTTGCCACTCATTGGAGTCTTACACATGCAACTTAACCTCTCAGTGCCTCAGTTTCCTCATCCGTAAAATAGGTGTTGATGGCAACCTCATAGAATTATTAGGAGGAAGGCCGGGCGCAGTGGCTCACGCCTGTAATCCCAGCACTTTGGGAGGCCGAGACGGGTGGATCATGAGGTCAAGAGATTGAGACCATCCTGGTCAACAAGGTGAAACCCCGTCTCTACTAAAAATACAAAAAATTAGCTGGGCATGATGGCGCGTGCCTGTAATCCCAGCTACTCAGGAGGCTGAGGCAGGAGAATTGCCTGAACCCAGGAGGCGGAGGTTGCGGTGAGCCAAGATCGCGCCATTGCACTCCAGCCTGGGTAACAAGAGCGAAGCTCCGTCTCAAAAAAAAAAAAAGAAAAAAAAAAGAATTATTAGGAGGAAATGCTTGAAACCATGCCTGAGACGTAAGTGCAATTAGTGATGTTTAAATAAATGAGTTACATATGTTATTCAATACATAGCCACCATTATACAATAAAATCGATTGAGTTGGGAGAGGAGACTCATCAGTGCTCCTTTATCAACTCAACACTGATTATGCATCTGCTCTCATCGGGTGCAGGTGCTTGCATGCCCAGGAGAAATAAGCTGGTGAGTTACGTGGTTCAGCACCATGAATTGATTTACAAAGGAAGCTTCAGTGCAGCCGTGTTGCTATAGGACCTCTCTCACCGAGGCGTCTTGAACGGAAGGGCTGGGAGAGGCCTCATGGAGGAGGAAGAGTTTCACTCAGCTGCTTGGGTGTGGGACTGAATGCGGTTCCAGAACTGGTCGCTGCCTTTCCCCGCTGACTCCGGTCTCTGACAGTGAGTTCCTTCTGGCGCCTTGAATGGGAGGGATTGTCGTGCACATGGGGAGGAGCCGGCTGTGGAGTTCAATCATTAATTTGCCACAATTAAAGCAGAGACTTCTGTCTCCAGCAGCAGATAAGCAAGCAGAGAGCTAACAATGACGAAGGGAGGGGCAGTCTGACAAACCGGTTGTGAAGGGCAGGCTAGGCTGATTGAGAGTTGATAGGGGCCTGTCATTGCTTTATTGTGGCAATAACGCCGTCAGGCATCTGGGGGATTAGGAGGGAAAGCCTCAGCTGGCATTGGCTGCAGGCTTAAGGGGGGAAACCCCAGCCAGACTTTTTTTTTTCCAGTCTGCTGGGCCACCAGAGAAGACTTTGGGGTCTCCAAGGCACGTGTGAGGCTGAGGGTTGGTGATCAGCTCACCAGGTTCCTTCCTGGCTGGGCTACATGAGCCGGGTATAGCTGGAGTGTTGAGATCTGACATTCCCAAAGAGATGCAGCTAAAGTCAAGAGGACAAGGATGTGTCACAAGGAGACGGTGATCAGGGGACTGGAGTCCCCTGGGTGGCAGGGAAGGAGGCAAGCAGCCTTAGGTTAGACTCCAGGAAGAAGTGTTTCCCTGAAGCAGTGATCATCGGAACAGCCAACATCTAAGTGCTTGCTCTGTGCCCAGTGCTAGGTGTGGTCCATGAATTCAGTAATTCCTGAAGCTCACAGGTAGGTCCTTTTATTGCCCCTCTACAGAGGTGAAAAAACTGGGTCTTCCAGAAGTTAAACATCTTGCCCAAGATCATGTAGCTCCGAAGTAGCAGAAACAGGAATTGAACTCGCATAACTTCCTCTCAAAGCCCCTAGATGCTAGCCTGTCTCTTCAAAGATGCTCATCAGTCAGAGGTGTAGGACAGGCTTATCTCTGGAATCTTCCTTGGTCTTCTTGTTCTGGCTCTGATCAGTTGGTGTGGCCATACACATACACATACACACACACGTTATATATATGCACACACGCCATGAATACACATCACGTACAGATATAAGCACCCACATACGCACAAGCATTGCACATCACACATGTACACACACATTACGTATGTGCACATGTACAGCACATACATGCACATGCTACAGATAGAATCCCTCCCCAACTCCTCCAGAGCCCCCTACCACATACCTTTAAGGTACTGGCGTGACCATAACAGAATCATTGACACTCAGTGGATTCTCTGCCCCTGGACAGCTGTGGAAAGACCAATGGCATTCCTGGGAATACTTTGAGGGTCGTGCGGGGCCCAGAAACTCTTGGCTGCTGCATCCCCCTGAAAAACAATCCCATGCTGGCCTTGACGTTGTCCACCCTAACTGCACTGGGCTACACTCATTGGGTCATGCTTCACTTTTGCAGAAGGCCCTTCTGTGAGTACTTTAAATTCCTGAAAAAGGTCATTAAATTTTGCTGTGGTCCTGAGGTGGTGCCTGGGGACTGTCCCTGCTCTCATTGACTTTATTACATTAAGGTCCAGAGTAAGCCATAAAACAAAACCCAAAATGCAACCTCCCAAGCCCCCAGCATGCCAAGGCTGGCAGAAATTCTAAGACCAGGTGAAAGATGCCGCACCCCCTCAAGTCTATTCAATGATCAGGCGGGCCCTAGGGAATGCTGGTTTGACTGACGTGCCCCTCCTCTGCCTTCTCTGTCAGGGGTCGTGTTTGCTTTGCGTTCTTGGCCACAGGGTTAGCAGGAAGGAGATCATCAATGCACCATTGCATGTGCCATTTTATGATTTTCCTCCATTCTTCATCCTGGGAGAAGGAGTGAATTTATGGACCTGTTATGGACTGACAGATGCCTCTGCAGAATTAGAGGTGGCTTGGGTTGGAGGCTGGATTCTGAGATGTAGCTCTTGAGCAGGATTTCTCAGTCTCAGCACCGTGACTTTTGAGGCTGGATCATTCTTTATTATTTGTATTATTATTATTTTTTGAGACAGAATCTCGCTCTGTTGCCCAGGCTGGAGTGCAATGGTGCAATCTCGGCTCACTGCAATCTCTGCCTCCTGGGTTCAAGCGATTCTCCTGCCTCAGCCTCACCAGTAGCTGTGATTACAGGCACCTGCCCCCACACCTGGCTAATTTTGTAATTTTAGTAGAGATGGGGTTTCACCATGTTGGTCAGGCTGGTCTTGAACTCCTGACCTCAGGTGATCCACCCAGCTCAGCCTCCCAATGTGCTGGGATTACAGGCATGAGCCACCACACCCGGCCTGGATCATTCTTTACTACAGGGCTTTGTCCTGTGCCTTATAGGGTAGTGAGGTAGCATCCTGGCCTCTGCCAGCTAGATGCCAGTACCACTCTGACCTCCCAGTTGTGATGATGACAGATCTCTCTGGACATTGCCCAGTGTCTCCAGAGTAGGGGGTGGTACAAATGTGTGTGGGTTGAGGAGCACTCACAGAAATGACTTTAAAGTTTTGGGGCACAGCTGGGTTCCCGCCAACAGTCCCTCTGCCCCGTGGTCCCTTTGCTTCTCTCTGCATCGCTGCCCTTCCCATCTGTTCAATGGGCGCTTCAGTGGCTGTGAGCTAAACCATGTACTCTGTGAGTCAGGAGGAAAGCAAAACCCCAGCCACATCTCACACTAGAGAAACAGAATTTTCTTTCCTTTTCCCTCAAAGTTCTAGTTTTCTGCAAGGTCCCCAGATGGCCAACTGAGAGCCTCTCGTTCACTCTGCAGGCGGGGACAAGCAAGCAGGACAAACACCCTCTGTCCTTCCTCCAAAGGGGGAAAGGACTTTTCCTCCCTCCCTCCGTCCGTCCTTCCCCTCCCCTTTCCGAAACTTGGGTTTTTTTTTTTGTTTTTTGTTTTTTCCCTAGTTCACTTGCACTGCCGACCCCTCCCCAGCCATCCCCCCTTCACTTCCCTCCCCTTCCCCTGGTACACCTGACTTATTTATTTATTTACGGCTGGAGTATCTGAGCTCAGGGTTAGTTCGGGTCTATTAAGTTTGCTCCTTTTCCTGCCTGGGAACCCGGGTAATGAGTAACCATAGCGTGCTACAGGCAGCTGTCTCCGACAAACCGGGAGTCGCCGTGGGAGCTGCATAAGAGAACGTTTGTTCTGTGCCTTCTCAATAGTTCCTTGTGCGGGAGGCAGGGTGATGGGAGGGAGGGAGGGAAAAGGGAAGAAAGACACAGACACTAAATCACTGCGCTTTTGACAATTCCTCTCTTCTCTCCCACCCCCCATCCTCCCCCACCCTCGCTGATCAGATCTTTGTGGTGGACTTAGACTTTAAGATTTTTGTTGCTGTTTCTATGAGCCTGAGGAGAGGCTCATGCGTACCTCGTGGGGTACTTTTGGGTGCGTTGCAGATTACATGAGGCCCGAGGGCTGATTTTTACCGTGGGGATGGTTTAGGTGTCTTGGATCGCTCTCACTGTGTGTGCAAATTAACACAATGCCTATTGTTCCCTAGTTCATTTAATGATCCAATAAATCTCTAGGTATCTATTCTCAACCTTGTGGCCTAGATATGCTATAAAGCTGTTGGAAAAGTGCATAAAGCAGTCCAAGTATATTATGGGATTAGTTATATGCCCCACAATCAACATGGGGCTTGCTAGGGCCTTCTTTGATTGGTATGATTACGTAGACAAGAGAGACAAGCCAAGAAATACATTGTACACACGGCCTTTGGAAGATCTCCCGTGAAATTTACATCCATTCATTCACTGCATGGGGATTTAGAACCTACTATGTGCCAGCTGTTTGGCTAGGTCTCAGGGGCAACTACAGAAATGAACAGGGCAAGACTCTGGCTCTCAAGTTTACAAAGGAAAATACGAAAGAACCCATGTCCCTGTATTATGGTAATATAAGATAAGGTGGGATATGTGTCGTAAGAAAGGTACAAGCAGAATATCTAGAGCAGGCGTCCCCAAACTTTTTACACAGGGGGCCAGTTCACTGTCCCCTCGGACCGTTGGAGGGCCGCCACATACTGTGGTCCTCTCACTGACCACCAATGAAAGAGGTGCCCCTTCCTGAAGTGCGGCAGGGGGGCTGGATAAATGGCCTCAAGGGGCTGCATGCGGCCCGCGGGCCATAGTTTGGGGATGCCTGGTCTAGAGAGAGGGGAGGGGGGAAGATTAAAATATTTTGGGAGCACGAAAGAAAACTTGGCTTTAGGAGCAAAAGAGATGAAGGCCAGCCCCTCCTCTGGGCAAAGGAAAGGTTTTAGCCAAGAAATGAAGGTAGGCAAGCATGGGGCATATTTGGGGAACAAGGAAGGGCTGGGTTGGTTGGGACATGGGCAGAGGAATCACGATCTGTGGTGAGTTTTAGAGAGATTAATCAGGCTGTGCTGTGTAGGGTACATTTAAAGGGGAAGAGATTAGTGATGACAGTTAGAAATAGATGCCACCAGTTTAGATGGAAGAAAATGAGAAGAGACAGGACAGGTGGATGGTGGAGCCTAGGATTGTGGAAGGAGGGTGTAGCAACTGCCCGCATGTCCAAGAGGGCACAGTGGAGGCAGCTCTGAGGCTTTAAGCCTGGATGACCAGGAAGAGAAATCTAGAAGAATAGCATGACACACCAGGAGGGCCAAGGAGGGCTCAGAACTGAGCAGCAAGATCAGTGGTCTGGTTTGGATATGCTAAATCTGAGAGGTCTCAAGGGACAGATGTTCCAAAGCCAAGTGGCAACAGAGGTCTCGAGCTGGGGGAGGATGTCAGGGGTGCTGTCTCTCCCTAGCATCCCCGTCTAATGCTGGCATGAGGGTGGAAACATCCTTGAAATGTGAGCTGGATCTCCTTCCACTGCCTGTCTGGGTCTTGTCTCCATTTCACCCCTGATCTGTCCCCCAAGAGCTGTTCTTTAGGGATGGCATCAGCAGGCTCCCTTGGCCACTGGATTTCAGCTAAGTTCAACAAATGGGGCAGGAGATTAAAGGGCGGAAGGAAAGTGGCCTCCGTTTCTGGCAGGCTGTTCTTTCTCCTTAGCTGCTGTC